AATTCTGGGAGTTGAAGTCCACTCATCTTAAAGTGACCAAGTTTGGACAACACTGCCCTAGAAGATAGGGTATGGAAAAGGAAGACAGACCTGTGGGCTTAGTCACTGAATGCTAAACTATGCTTTAGTATTACAGATAAAACAAATCTACATTTTGCAAAGTGTAATCGAAAGTATGAGGTGTGCTTAATATTCACTTAAAAGAAAAAACAAACCCCATAAAGCCACCAGTGTATTTTTTTTTTTGGTGGGGGGATGTTCATTCTGGTATGTTAACATATTGGTATTAAACCAGACAAAGCTTTTCAGAGAAATGAGTAATTTGTATACATTCTAATATGTAAAAAAGGCTTATTTTCCTTTAGAGGAAAAGTGAAGACTTGAGGCTATGCAATCTTCATATTTCGACTTCAGTAAATCAGTTGGGAAGTTGAGTTTTGTCCTGTTTTCTAGAGAATTATGTTACTATCTTCTTCACCTATCTGCCACACAAATGAGCGCTTAGGGGTATCCTGTTATCATCTAATACAAATAAAATTAGAAATGCAACATTTGGAAAATGTAATACTAAACAACAGACTCCTCTTTCCCTTCCTTGCAGTCATTTTCTCCTCAAATCCATGTTGTCAGAATTTATTGATGCAATATTGATATAAAAAGGAAAAGAAACAACCCTTGATGTTAGAAAATGCCTTTCTTTAATAAATTCCTTCCTACAATTTTTTTTAAAAAAGCCTGCATACTTACTTTCTCTCCAAAGCTTATATCTGGTGCTGGTTTTGCTTTAAAGAACGAATGATCAAAATGAAGGTCACTACAATTACTATTATCACAACAAGAGTAATCAATGCAGTTCGTGCAGTGCTATACCCACAGGACAGATTTATAGAGAAGAGCTTCATGCCTTCTAGCGATTTGGGCTCAGAGCACACAGTCTCTTCAGAATCTTCAATTTTATCTATGTTTTGCTTGTACCAAGTTAATAATCCAATATTAGAACAGGTGCATTCCAGTGGATTGTAACTTAAATTGATTATACTCTGGCCAGATAGGCTAGTCAACAAATCACGTGGGATAATATGGATCCTATTATTGGCAAAATTGAGATAAATGTTCCTGTGATTGGAAAATACATCTGAACTGAATGCAATAAGTTTGTTATGGCTCAGATCCACATGCTTTAACTTTTTGAGGGCAAAAAATGCTTTAGCTTCTATAGACAATAATTGGCAGGAAGCTAAAGTTAACACCTCTAGATTTGGTGCTTTCTGAAAAAAGTTGTCACTGAAAATGGTGCCAGATTCAAACCTGTTTCCATTCATATTTAAGACAAGCAGGCTGTTTAGATCTTGCAAAATATTCTGCTTGCTTGTATCAATACGAGAGAAAGAAAGGTTCAGGATCTTCAAAGAATGCAGATTGTGGAATGGACCTTGAGAATTACTGATGATAATGTGTGTGAAAGTGAGATCAAGAACTTCCAGGTTAGGACATTCATTAAATGCTGTGTTGTGGAATGAAAGGTTGTGATTGTAGCTTAAGTTGAGGTGTTGCAAGCCATTCAGACCTCGAAGTTGGTTGCTGCAGCAGTCTAAGCTTTCAATGTGACTCCTGCTCAAATCAAGATGTTGAAGCTTTGACAAGGATTCCAAACATCCAGAATTCAAGTCCATGGCCTCATAATTTTTTTGGATATAGAGATGAGTAAGGGAAGGGAAAGCAGAAGAATGGATGTCGCAGAGATTCGAAAATCTATTCTGGTTGAGATTTAATTCTTTCAGCAAATTCATCTGAGGAAGGTCCAGTAGCTCAGAAAGGGAGGTGTGGGTCAAGTCCAATCTTTTGAGTTTGGACAAACATTGGAAAGTGTCACCAGAAAATTCTAGGAAAGTGCGATACTGTAGAGTGAGATAGTCTACAGAGATGTTGCAGATGCCCTGCAATGTGCTGTGTTGAATGGGAGGGTTGTCTGCACCCAAAAAACTGCCGAGCCAGAGGACAACAGTGCTAACACCTTGCAGTCCATCCAAGATCACTGAAATATTAATACAACTGCCAAAGTCCAAATTGTAAAAAAAAAATGAACTAAAGGCCTTGGGCTCAATGTGCATAATCTTGTTGCCTCTAAGATTGAGAGTCAGATTGTTAGCTTGTTTTAATGCCTTTATATCTCTAATTGAGATTGTTTGTATAATGTTCATCTGTAAATCCAAGTATTTGAGCTTTCTAGTTGGAAAACCTGGCGGCAGCTCCAATGATTGGATATAGTTGCCTCCTAGCGACAGAGTTTCTATGTTATGTAGGTCCTGCATTGGAATAAATGTTAATTTAGTGATCCCTGTTTGGGTTAGATCAAGATGCTTCAGACGCTGAGGACCTGTAAATGCTGTTCTGGCCAGAAAGAGAAGATTATTTCCAGTAAAGACAATGGTCTCCAGGTAGATATTGCTTTCGAAAGTGCCTTCATATACCCAATTAATCTGACACCTTTCAAAACAAAACAAAATCTGGTATTAGAAACACAGCAACAACTGTGGTTATAATTGAAATAGATGTCCTGTTTTTGATTCAGTATTATGAGATGCAGGTCATTAGGTAACTAGGCAATAAAATGAAGTATTTAATTTTTCAATCAATTTAGAGGACAAATCAACTTTAACATATTTTTAGATGGTTATCAAACCACATCACGATATGTCTGTTTAAACAAGACAAATATCTACCAATTACAGGTGAAAAAGGCATGTTACAAGCTTGGAAACCCTGATTAAAATTATTCAAATTCATTTGCTTGGATAAATCCTTGAAAAATGCTGTAGGAAATAAAATTTCTACATGCAAGTACAGGACAACAATATGTTCTGGTAACATATTTTAAGGCTGATGTCAAATATCAAGAAACAAGCTGCTATGTTGACAAATATACATATATGTACACATATTGAGGCAATGCCTTTATTACAAAACAACTGCAAGTTTTTATGATTTCTAGAACTCTAATTCTTGAACGTTATTGCAACTATTTATTGAGGCTTTTAGAACTGCATCCACAACTGCAATATATGTGAAAAACTCAGAGC